ACTGACCTGTGCCTCTCAGACTACTGCTTCCATGCTTCTGCTCTGACCCTGTCTTGCAGGAGTCTTTACAGTCAGTGTGTCTTAATTTCAGAGGGAGGAAGTGAGGCCGTAGGAAAATTAGTGAGAGTTTTAATGACAGTAGTAATAGTCAATATTATTTCTGAAATGGCACCAAGGCTGGTGTGCAGGCCAGTAGTAGTAACCGGTGTAGTAATCCATGCAGCTTCTTTGCTCTCTGTTCAGTGTTGAAGAGGGTCTGAGATTTCTTCAAGCACTTGTGGTGAGAGAGGAAGAAGTACAGATACATTGCAGTGTAACTTGGATTCCCTAAAGAACAGGCGATTTCTTCTTTAATTCTCTTCTGATCCTGCTCATGTAGTGAAGGGGAAATCTCAGTTCAGTGCTAGTGAGTCTTTAACAATGATCTACCATTAGGTTCCCCTTTAGACAGATTGGAGGAGGGAAGGGGGGCATATGCAAGCCTTCATGTATAGCACTGATACGAAGATTCTTTCCCTTTTTTATATAATATTCACTCAGTCCCGTGTATCTCTGAGTTCTGTATCTATGAATCAAAAAATTTTTTATTTTAAAAATTGCATCTGTACTGAACATGTGCAGGCTTTCTTGTCATTGATCCCTACACAGTATCGTATAACAACTACATGCACAGCATACACGTTATGCAGTAGTGTACGTAGTCCAGAGGTGAGTACAGGGGAGGATGTGCACAGGTTAGATGCATTACTGTGCCTTCCGTCCGAGGGACTTGAGCATCTGTGGGTTTTAGAATTGGCGGCTCATCCTGGAATGTGAAAGAGGGCATCCTGCTGTGAATACTAAGGGATGATTGTATTTAAGTTTAAAAAAAAAGAAATGAATTTTTAAAATTAATGAATAATACTGCTACATGTGGCATGTGGATTTGGCTCCTAGTACCTGTTCCTAACTTTTCATCTTTGCTCTATTTTGTCCTGCAAAGCCTGACATTTACTCATTATAAACATAGCTTCTTAACAAATATTTTTAATATCCTCTCTCGAATGGAGCCTGGCTTCTCTTCATAGTTGATCCTCTTCCTAACTTGCCTTACGACTGACAACATCCCAGGCTACCTGTTCAACTTCACCTGCTCCGGGGCCCTGTACCCTTGCCAGCCCTCTCTTCCTCCCTTCCCTGACCAGCTCACCTTACGAACTAGATCCACATCCCACCCACACTGTCCAAGCCATGCTGCAGTGCCAAGACCTCACACTACCCCAGCCGTCACCACTTCCCTGCTTTTCTGAATTCCTGCTGCATCTTGGACCGGTGATCACAGTTAAGCACTCAGCTGCATTCCCATTGTTTCAGGCATTTTTTTGCCGTCTGCCAAGCTGTAGCCTGCGAATATGATATGGCAAACATTCTGCTATGTGCTGCGTAAGGCTTGATCATCAAAGACTGAGCAGCTTTGAAAACATTTTTGTTGGAGCTTTGAGTCGCAATATGAGATGTACGACTGCCTTGTTACCACCATGCTGTGAGAGAGCCCAAGTTGTATAGAGAGGTCTTAGGGAAGAACTCCAGGCGACTATTTCAGCTGTGCCGAGTTCCATCCTTCCAGCCAAGGTTCCAGACACAGATGGAAGGCATCTAGATGATCCCTGTTTCTGTATTCAGCCTTTTGAGTCTTCCCCAGTGGAGGCTCTGAACAAGTTTAAGCAAAGATAAGCTTTCTCTAGTATGTCCTGCCCAAGTCCCTGAACTGCGGAATCCATGCACATTATCAAGTAATTCTTGCTTTATTTTCCTGAGTTTTAAGGTGATTGGTTTCACAGCTACAAGTAACAAATATTTCCTCTAAAAAGCGTTCTTCATGGCTAATCCCCAGTAATAATCCATCTTATTGCCAGTCGCAATTATACTAAGACAGACAAACAAACAAAAGACAAGCAAACAAAACAAATTTAAAGTAAGGAGAAGAGACTATCTTCAGAAGAAAAGAAGGGGAAAAGTAGCAGAAAGCAATGCCCAAATTCATAGATATATAGTATATATAGAGATGCATATCTACAGATAGATATAAAGACATAGCTAATACTCAGATATGCTGTTAGCATAGCCATTATTAGATTTTACTTGCTAATTCTTTGTAACACTACCTCTACCAGAGTTCTTTCTGCTAAGTTTTGTTTGTCCATGGTACCTACTTAGTACATATTAAAAGCTGAGAAAAAGAGACTATATTCAAATTTTTCTTTTAATATTTTTTCTCAGATATTAATGAGTGATAACACATGGAAAGGATAATAGAACTTCTAATGTTTTACAAATAATACTACTAAATGCTAACAATGATGCAGAGGAGGCTCTTTCTCTTTAGTGAAAGTATATTATAAAACCCTTTGCTGAGTACTTTTAACAGTTTACACCAAAAGAGTTAACACTATTTAAAATTCTTGAAAGAGTTAATACCCTTTGACTGGGGATATTTTTTCTTTAATGCATTTTTGTTTTAAGGAAGTTGTTTATGCATAAAATTTTATTGGAGAATGTTTATTGCCATATTAACTCTTGTTTATTCATTCTGTAAACACTTGTTGGCCAGGCTGTGTGCCATGTTGAGTTCTTGACCCCAGGGATGCCCTAATGGAGAAGCCAAAGTCAGTGGTTGTGTTGGACGTCATTTCTGGTGGTATAATAAGTAGTAAACCCATCCTCTTATGGTATAATTTTAAACTTTGAAACGAAAGGAAGGAACATTTTTCTTGGAGTGAAAATTATTTAATTAGAGACAGCAGAAAAAGCTTCTCTAAGAAAATACCACTAAACGAGTGTTGATTTTAATAGAAAAAAAAAAAAAAGAAATGAAGAGGAAACAACACTTCAATATCCCAAGATCGTGATTGTTGAATGGATTCTGGTTCATACAAGCAAGGAAATATTGTACAGCTCTTCACTTGCTCATCTGTATTTCCTAATGCAGCTCTGTAGTCAGCATTTGTCGCTTCATAAAGAGAAATTTAAAAGTTTAAATCAAGCTGTTCACGCAAACTACTTGCCCTCCTACTGTACTCCTTACTATTTCCCAAGAAGGCTCAGTGAGAGCAGTCATCTCTTTCTGAATGATTTACTTTCACTTCCAGTATTAGTGTAGTACCTGGCACATAATATAACTTTAATGAATAAATCCATGACATGAAAGAAAGCAGAGACTTGTATTATTGAGCATTCTTATATATCAGGTTCACTGTTACATACTTTAAACATGCTTTATCAATTAATTTCTGCTGCAACAATGTGCAAGACTAGGAAACAGGTTTACAGAAACTTTGTTTACATATCTGAACAGAAGAAGAGTTATTTTTACCCAGTTACGATGGATAGCTAACATCTATTGGATGCCTCGGTCTCCATTTTACTGCCTCGTGTATCCTATGATGTTTTTGTGCTCCCCATCCATGGGCACACACATGCACATGCACACACGCCTGTGCCTGCAGTGTGACCCGTGAAGAAAATATAAAGGCAGAGAAAAAGAAAAATCTCATTAGAAAGGTGCTTTACATCTGAAAATTATTTTCTCTTTTATTAGTGAAAATGTAAATACCGTTAGTGTTCTCCTGTTGTAACAAAACAACTGAGGTAACCAGCCTAAAAGGAAGAAATGTTTAGGCTCACAGGGTCAGGGGCATCAGTCCATGGATGCTTAGCCCTGGGCTTTGTGCCAATGGTGGCAGAGTGTATCGTGGTGGGAGCTTACGGCAAAGGGTGCCAGTTCACCTCCTGGCAGCCAGGAAGAGACAAGGCAGGAGGGGACACCAGTATCCCAGTATTTCCTTCAAGGGCGCACCTCAGTGACTCGAAGACCCCCCACCTCTTAAATGTTCTGTCTCCTTCTAGTAGTGCCACAGGCTGGGGACCCAGCCTTCATCACACGGGCCTTTGGGGGACATTCACGATAAAAACTATAGTAATGAGCAAGAAAGAATGAGGTCTAATTGGACCGCAGCTAGAAAAAAATATTAAGATATTAATATTTTTTAAATATGGCAACAATATTTTTAAAACTTTATCAACCCTTTAATAAGACTATCTGCCTGCATTGAAGGAACATCAGATTTTGTGTGATGAGTAGGTCTTGGCTTAACTCTAAACATTTGCTCATCTGTGGTATCTGCGTGCTCTAGGTATAATTTTCACTGAATGTAATAGAGCTCCTGAAATAATACTACAGCTCGTGGATTTATGTGAAGTCTCCATCACCTGGGATTTCTGCCGTTGTCACTCTGGCCTCTGTAGTGCATGGCTGTCTTGCTCAGAGGCCGGTCTGCTTTCTCACCTCCAGGATGGAGACATCTCCTACCTTCAGAACCTATCGTGGAAATCGCACCATCACGGCCACCCATCCTTTGTCTAAAACCAAGGAACATGCCACACCTAGCTGCAAACCTTGTTCTGGGCAGCCATGTGACCAGCCCATGCCCACAGATGTTCTGAGAGGGACGATACTGACAAACACTTAGAAAGCTGTGTTATACTCTCTTAGTAACTGAAATCGAATTTTGTAATTCCTTAGCTATCTCCCAGAACACTAGTTTTATAAATTAGTTTGGCGTGTGTGTGTGTGTGTGTGTGTGTGTGTTTGTGTGTGTGTGTGTTGTGTATTTGGGGGGAGAGAATAAAAGAATTATAAATGATAATATTGGTAATTTTTAAACTGTCATTCATTCCATTTTCTCATAGGAACAATCTCCCAGAGTCTGATAAAGTGAAGATTGTGAATCCATCCAGAAATGCCTTTTTAAAAACTGCCAGTAAGAACATAATCAGGTGATGCTTGATAAGACTGCAGTAGAAGCTGTTAAATCCTTACCTTATATGACATTAAATAGCAGAAACCTCCATTTAAAAAATTATATTGAAAAGGATGTCAATGTGCCTACTGTATAAAAGAATTATAAATGATAATATTGGTAATTTTTAAACTGTCATTCATTCCATTTTCTCATAGGAACAATCTCCCAGAGTCTGATAAAGTGAAGATTGTGAATCCATCCAGAAATGCCTTTTTAAAAACTGCCAGTAAGAACATAATCAGGTGATGCTTGATAAGACTGCAGTAGAAGCTGTTAAATCCTTACCTTATATGACATTAAATAGCAGAAACCTCCATTTAAAAAAAATTATTGAAAAGGATGTCAATCTGTGCCTACTGAAGTTGAAACTGGCTTTTTAAAGAGTAATTGTATGGAGTATTATTTTCTTCAAAGTTGCCTTCCATCTAAGGAGAGCAAAACTTCAATTAACACAGCCTCGCCTCACCCTAGCTTTATCTACCTTACATAGTTTAAAAGGGAATTAAATTTACTTTAGCTCTCTGTTTTTTTTTTCCATACCAAGAATTTTCTGGTAGAAATGTGTAATTCAGTGTTCTGAGATATTACTGGTCTGGGAAGTGTCCCTGGTCATACAGCAGAAACACCAAAGAAAGAAATGCTTTCCTTGTCAAAACCACAAAAACTAAAGGAACATCTCAATGTAAGTACTGGCAGGAATCTCTTCTTTACTTCGATTAGTTTGATGCCAAGAATTAATGAGAGCATTATGATTATACTGTTGAACATAAAACATGACAAAATGTGGAAGGTTAGGACCTAATGCTAATTCTTCTAGATTTTATAACACATTAAGTTATCTTAGGGGTCTGGTTATAAATATCAAAATAATCAAAAACGCTGCTGCTTTAAACCTGCATTCTCTAAGCCACCAGAAGTCTAAGTGCTCATAAGGCTGGGTTGGATTTTTAACCAGTGATTGTTAGGATTGCAAATCACACTAATCTAATTTAACCTCCAGATCTTTTCTCGTTTACATCTCCCTTTTTTTTTCCATTTTTATTCTTCACCCACTTATTCATTCAGCAATTTTCCTTGAGCACTAATACGTCTGTAACAAAATTATGTTAAAGACATTCTAAAATAGAAGTAACAGCTGAGTAATACTGAACGTTATATATTTAGAAGGGTGACTGTGTCTTTGCTTATGTTTCTTCCTGGGATACTGTTTGTACCTTGGGTCTTCTTAGCTGTTTTCATTTATGAATTCGTTTAGAATTCAATACTAGAACTTTTCTCTTTTTTCTGCTTAGAGAAGAAAAAACAAATTCGCGAACTCCCTGTGGAAGATGTGGACTCAGTGCAGTGTAGCTGACGGCCCTCAGCCAGCCTGGGGTGAGCCACGTTGTGGAGAAGTGTTGGTTGAACATCTGCAAGCTTAGCGGCCAGGGCTAATCTGGGAGACTTGAGAGGGGCTGAGAAATGTGGTAAGATAGAGATTCAGTTCCTGCTTCTAGAGGCGAGAGATAAAATTTAGTTCATTTTCTGCTAAGTGGAGGCAGAAGTGTCTGTTTGACTTGGCTAGGGGATGTGTTTATAAGTGTGAACATTTCTTAAATTACTTGGAACCATTGCACAGATTTCTCCTGTCTCTGAGGAATGGGGTTACTTGGTAATGCAGGCTCCAGCTTTCAAAGGGAGGAGTCTTGGGAAGCAACTGCGTGACATGATTCAGGGAGAGAAAACTGACAGAGGACAGTTGGCTCAAGGGTGCGGCAGTGTGGCAGGCACTGGCCGCCAGAGGGCACCAAGAGGAGGTCCTTCATCCTCCACCTGGTCTTACTTCAGCAGAGTTATAAAGTAAATCACAGCTCAGAAGGAGTTAATATAAAGGCACAATAAGATTGATGTCATAAAAACAGACAAGCCGTGGAAACTTGGATATATTTATTAATAAAGGGAAAAAAGAAGAAAATTTGTTGTTGTAAATGGTTGTACTAACTGATTTTCAGATACAGGTGGTCCTTGACTTGTGGTGAGTTTACATCCTGATCCGCTTATCCTAAACAGAAAATGCTGGAAGTTGAAAGTGCTCTTCGTGCCCCTGTCCTGCTGGACATCCTAACTTAGTTCCACAGCCTCGGGGAGGAGGCCAGTTATTTGCCCCTCATGGCCGTGTGGCTGACTGGGAGCTGTGGTTGCTACGAATACCTAGCTTCACAAGAAAGGATTATACCATGTACCACTAGTGTGAGGAAAGCTCAGAATTAAGAATCTGAAGTACAGTTTCTGCTGAACCTGTATCACTTTTGCACCATCATAAAGCCAAGAGATTGTTCAAAACCATCATAAGTCAGAAACCTTTTGTAGTCCCATAAAAGGAAGATTTGCAGAAAGAAGAACGGAGAGGATGAGATGTGGAGGTTATGTAAGAAGTCTCATAATGAAATAATTGGCGATGATCAGGTGATGCTCTTTTTCTGTTACTTAGATTCCATGGATAAGAGAGTCAGAAGTGAGTTTAGGAGTTTATGGCCATGTGGGGACATGAAGTAAACCCTAGCTGGGGTTTGAGGTCATATGCAGCAAATAACTCCAGACAACAGCCATTCTGTTATGTAAAGTCTGGTGCAGAGCAGCCCTGCAGGCTGGAGATGTGCTGTGTAAAGGTTCGCGGTGCACATGGTAGATAAACAGTGATGGCTATGATAGGGCCAGATCGATGGGAAACCTGTGTCCACAGAACCTGGGGCAAAGCTTCTGCTTGAGTCCGTTACCTGAGAGGGAAGGGATCTGCTGCAGGACCTGTGTGTGGCAGGCAGTTCGTGTAGCTCTGTGGAGCATTTAAATAGGGGCTGTCACACGCCTAAGTGTGTCAGATGTACAGAACAGGGCTCCGTGGGGCACACGGTAGAAATAGCATCTTGCATAACCTGTGGAAAGGGTATGCAAGTGTCATTTGGCCCAAATTGGAAAGTTGGAGTTGGGAAGGAAGAAGAGTCACAAAGAGCACCTAACCTTAGAATCCAGGGGGGAAAATAGGAGGTGCTTGGTTACAAAGGGAGATGTACGTGTTAGAGACGATGAAGGATGAAAAGGGAGTTTTCTCAAGTACTTTGTTCACTCTTAAGGATCTCATTTTAAGTTTTAAAAAAATCCATTGCTTAGTTTCTTTTTGGCAGGGCTTAGCTATGAGAAAAGACTCCCAGGCAGAAGGAAGCTGTAGGGGGTATGATTTTGAATACTTTGAATTATGGGGTCCTCTCTGCTGGAGCACAGCTCCTAAGTCTGGCTCCTTGGGGAAGGTGCCCTGCCTGGCCCTGCGTGCATGGGCTCCCTCCTCCCTGCCGCTAGAGGAGGCTGAGCAGGAGTGTCTATAACTGGCAGATGCCAGAGGCTCCTGAGAGGGGCCGGTGAGGCAAAGCTGTGGGTCCCACGGCGCCCGTCCTGGCTGATACCTGGCTCAGCCTTGCCAGAGAGGTGTCCTCTCTCCCCAGTTACCTTGGAGGGACACATGACAGCCTCCCTCAGAGCTGGAGAAGGGAGTGTGACTGCTCCTACCTGGCCAAGGTGTCTCATTTGTTCCAGGCCTCCTGTTCCCTGGTCTGAAAACATCCCTCTGACTCTTAGAACTGACACAGTGAAAAGCACAATCCCATACCCACCTCTCCTCCTCTGCCCTGAGCCTTGCATCTTAATGCTTGGCCTGCTCTGCACCCTCTGTACTCGTGACACTAGATGTGAACTTTAGGAGAAGGGAAGATCAGCCTTCATCTCCGAGGGTTTTCCCAACTTTTCTTTCCCCCTCTTCAGGTCGATAGGTTGCTTTTCTCATTTCAGGAAGACAGTGGAGTGGGACCAGGGTCACTGTATGATAATAATGGCAACTGGCCAAGTAAGACATTTTGAGTACAATGTAGAAAAATTGCTACCTCTTAAGGTAACGTTGATGTACTCTAAGGTAGTGTGTTTGTCAGCTTCCCATTGCTGTAACAAATGCCAAAAATAAATTAACTTAAAAGGAAAAGAGGTTTATGGTGGTGCAGTTTTAGCGGTGTCAGTTCGTGGTCCCTGGGCCCTGTTTCTCTGGGCTTGTGGTGGCACAGTGTGTCATGATATCTGCAAAGCAAGGGAGAGAAGTGGGAAGAGGATGGGGTCCCAGTATCCCCTCCAGGCAGCCTCCGGTGACCTAACTTCTTTCTAGTAGGTGTCACCTTCCAAAGGTTTCACAACTTCTCAATAGTGCCACAGGCTGGAGACCAAGCCTTTAGCATGTGGGCCTTTGGAGGAACATTCAAGATCTAAACTATAGCAGATAATGGAAACTGAAATATTTCTAACTTCTTTTTTTCTAGTGAGCCTTAGCGAGAAATGCATATAGCCAGGTTTGTAAACTAGAAAATGTCCATACAAGACACTTGATCCAGTGGAGCCTTGATCTTGGACTTGTTTGCCTCCAGAACTGTGAAAAATGAGTGTTTGTTATTAAAGCTACCCAGTCTGTAGTCCTCTGTTTTAGCAGACTGAGGTACATGATAAACCTGGAGTTTGCTTTGCAATTCCATCAGAACATGGTGTTGCTATATCTTGCAATACTATACTATACAATACCATAGCAACAAAATACTATACACTATCACTGTGTTGTACTATGCTACACTGCGGGCTGAGGAGAGACAGGGTGTCAGAGGAAAGTGGGATGTGCTCATGGAACTCTCAGCTGTATGCATGAGCAGGAGACAGCCTCAGGAGAGACTGTTTGGTGCCTTGAAAATCTGTAAACTGTGAAGACAGTAAGGAATAAGTAGACATGTTGAGCTTGATATGTTGCTTCTGCAGATAAAACAATAGTGATTAGCAAAGAAATAGGTTGTGAATTTCAAACCTTTGATAACTATCTAGAGCTCTTGAGCCAAGGTAAATAATATTTAATAATTTCATATCTATAAAAGTAAAGGTAGAAAGGAAAGTCACAAATGAGCCAAGTTTAAGAATGTGGGTGTGAACTTACTCCCAAGGTTTCGTGGAGTCAAAGTCCCATTCATATCAAGGCGAGCATTGGATGTTAATGTGGTCAAATGATGGCCTCAAGACCATTGTCAAAATCAAGAGCACAGTGCCTCAGAATAAGGATCCATAAAACCCTGAAGTTAGTTTCTGGAATAAGAATGAGGCAACATGCAGTGGGAAATAAGAGTAGAGAGAGTTGAGAACAAAGTAAAACAACAAAGTGTCTAGAAAAATTTCTTTGTGGAACATAGCCCAATTCATGGAATGACTTAAATATCTGAAGTACTTCGATGTAATATGTGACGACTGCTGTTTATTGTTTGGCTATTTTGTAGAGTTAGGTTTTGTGTCTAATGGAGCTCTACAAATCCAATGTATTTGCCTTGTGAAGGTTTGACCGTCTTTGGTGTTTTCTTAAGCAGCTAAGTGTGTACATGCAGGGCCCTTTCTGTATCTACAAGTGCTCCTGTCTGCACCTCTCTCATCTTTAATCTGTCCATCTATAAATGGTATGGAAGAGAGGAGACTATTTCAGTTTCCCTTGTAGATTTATAACTGACAACTCTGGAAAGTGTTTTAAAAATAATGATCTAAAAACATATAGAGTATGGATTTGAAAGTACAAATAGAGAAAATGACTGTCTGTATGAAATCATAAGAATCCAGAAATGAAAAAATATTGAAGGCAGGGAA